GGTGAGAGAGAGAGAGAGAGAGAGAGAGAGAGAGAGAGAGAGAGAGAGAGAGAGAGAGAGAGAGAGAAGGTGGCGGGGGCGAAGGTAGCAATTAACTTCTCCTCGCGAGATTAGAGCGAGATATTACGAGATATCGAGCGACTTAACGGCAACACGCGAGAGACTTCAAAGGCAGTAATAAACTGCCTCTAATGAACCCCTTATCGCCGCTGCTGCCGCGCCACCCAACCACCCACCAACTCACCCTCACACTGCGCTTCTCGCTCCCTCTCTCTCTCTCTCTCACTCATACATACTTATTCTCTCTTACTCTCTCTTCGTTTCCCTCAGCACCTCCGGCGACCTACCGTCTCTCTACCGTACGTGCCTTCCTTCCTTCGCTCGCGCGCTTGCAATGCGGGCTGAATCGAGCGCGGAAAATACGGCGCGTTCTCTTTCGCACCCACGCAATCGAGACAGACGCGATCCTCCCTCTCACTCTATTCCGTTGTTATCAACGTTACTACTGTTACCGCCGCTATTAATTTCGCCCCTCTATAACGTCGCATTGTCGTTATTATCGATGCCGGTGAAATACACGCTTTATCACTCTTGCTCGCTCGCTCGCTTGTTCTCCTTCTTACGTTGCTTCTATTTTCCCTCTCTCTGCTTCCCTCTTTCTCTCTTTCTACCCTTCTGTTATCAACCAGCTGTGCGCCCCCGACGCCGGTTACGCCAACAGCACATTGGCGTTACTGTTTGTTGGCTCCGGTCGAGTTTGGCTCCGATTCAATCAAAATCAAAAGCGGACCAGGATCCCGCGCGATCATCGACGAGGCGTTTCGCTCGTTTCGGAAAAGAGTCGCAAAGACTACGGGAGAGCCGGGTCTGTCTCTCCTTCGTCGTCGACGACGACATCGTTGTCGTCGTCGTCGATTCGTCGCGTCGCGTCGCGTCGCTCGTCGCCGCGGCGCTGCGCGGTATGGCGCGTCGCCGGGCTCCGTCAAGCCCAATCATGTTGATTCAACAAAGTACCTACCTACCAAATTGCTGGAATTTGGTATTCGGCCAGAAAGATGAAGGGAGAAGGAGCCAGCGGAGCAAGCTAGAGAGGGCTGGAAGCCGTCTGATTGCACATCTAGGACAAACCAGCATCACGACGACGTCGCTCCAGCGGAAAGCCGAGCGATGATTGGCCGCTCTCTCTGTCATTCCCCTTTTCCTCGATCCCTTCAGCCCTCGCCGTCCGTACGCCCGAAACCCGATGGCGTTGGGGGCTGGGGGTGATTGGACGCATCTCGGTGATTGTGGCACCCACCAGCCACCCCCGACTACGCTCTATCTCTCTCTCTCTTCTTCGACTCTCTCTCTCTCTTTCTCTTTCTCACTCTCTCCCTCTATCTATCTCTCTCCCTCACCTTCCGTTTCGTCCTGGTCCACCGCGCCATCCCTCCCTCCTACACGGCTGTAAATCGAGTTTACCCTCTTGCCGTGGCTCAGCCCTTCAATCAAACTGATTGAAACATTCCTTGAATCCAAAAGAAACGAACCGCCATCCCTTCTCTCTCTCTCTCTCTCTTTCTCCCTCTCTCTCTTCCTCTCACTCTCTAGCTCTCTCGCACTCACCTCACCCTCAACCCCCGAACCCACCTCCTCGCTAGCGCTATCTTTCCGAGTCGCACCGCGCGCGCTATCCTCTCCATCCATCTGTCTATCCACTCTCTCTGGGTCCGTGCGGATATACATCCGTCGTTCTCTTTTCGACGAGAGAGGCGGTGGCGGTAGCGGCAACGCGGGCGACATCGATGGTGTTGCGAGACACAACCGGGTTGGTTTCAATTCCGACGGTAGTTTGATTGTAAAGCTCCGCAGCGCAGGGTATAAAGCGCTTAGAGTGATATGACGCACTGAATGCGCGGTCGCGGAAGCGCGTGCCGTTGCCTCAAGTGGGGATCATAAGCGAAAGCCTCTGATACACCACACGCGCGTCATACCCTCAAATACGACCGTTTGCGTATTTGTCCGCTAATTCTTCGCTCTCGGAAACCTCGTGACAAGCACGAATCGAATGTTCTTTGTCTCTTCTTTAGCCTCATTATCCTCCAGACACCTCTCGTGAGACGGCTCTCTTTATCTTGTCATCCATTTTCCTTTTCAACACACGTCTTACCTTTTTAGACCAATCTTGTGGGGTGAACATACATTTGCTATTTCTCTCTTTTTCTGTCTTCCTCTCATCATATCTATTTCTTGTTTTTGTATTTTTGTATTTTTGTATTTTCTCCATACTTAAGTATTCCGTATTGTGCACATCTATTTTGTTATTACTAGCATGTCTATGCACTGGTTCTATTCTATATTGTGTACCTTCGTGGATAGAAAGATTGTCCGTAATTTTTGGGGTGAGTTTGTAAACTCCTCGTCTCGTCCAGTGGGAGATTTCGTTTTTCAATGGGAGAATTCCCCCACTGGATAAGGCGGAGAGTTCACAAACTCATCCGAAAAATTACGCGGATGACCTTTCCGTCCACGAGTGTACACAATCTCAATTCATGCGCTTGAGATGATGCTTCTTAGAGCGCCTAATAAACGAATCTTCTTCCCCACCTCTTTCGTTTTCTGTTGCAGTTTGCAAGAATCCGATTTTTCGAAGGAAGAAAGAAAGCAAGCCGATGTCCACCGGGAGATAGAGGAGGACGACGACGACGACGACGACGACGACAACGACGACGACGACGACGACGATGACGACGACGACGAGGCTAGACCCGTCGTCCCGAGAACGGAGGCGCCTCGTAGTCAAATATTGATACTAGGCCGGACCAAATCGCTCGACTATGCCAACAGATTAGGACGTACGTGCGCTACGGGCGAGTAATAGCAATCGCGCGATAAGGAAAGACCGACCGAACGGCCAACCAACCGACCGACCGACCGACCGACGAATTTCAAGTATACCCGTGACGTAGCCGTGCCGTTCTACGCGCGAACAATCACACGGAACCGCGTCTGCCGAGTTCGCGCGTTGCGCAACAATATTTTAGACAGCCGCCGTCGCATTATTACGAAATGTAAGAAACGCAAACGAGCGCAGCGCGCTCAACTGCAGCGTGAAAACGCAAGAAATGTCACTCGGCGTGCGCGCGCGCGCGCTCTCGCGCGGATATAACCGGTTGGCGGGCTCTAAGGAGAGAGAAAAAAAGAGGACTGACAGTTCCATTACCTCCGGTACGTGCGCGGCCGGGCCAGGTTGTGCCGATCTATTTCGGTGGGACTAACTAAGTTCAGCGTCTGTTTCTCATTAAATTGCGCTCTGACCTCGAATCCCTCTAAATTTGGAACGGCCACGCCGATTAGGTGCATATTCATCGCGCGGACCGCGGCGATGGCTGTAGTTTCGAATTGCGCTTGCTCGCTCGCTCGTTCATCGATGAGCGATCGGAACCAAAGATGTGCTCGCGTATGTGCATCCATGCGTGCATGCATGCGTGCGTGCGTGCGTGCGTGCGTGCGTGCGTGCGTGCGTACACGCGCGCGTTGCACCGAGCGTAATGCGGTAATCGTATCGAGATAAATTTCCAGGCCGCTCATTATCGCTGTAACGATATACTCTTATGCACGGAGAATATTCAATCGGACCAGCGAATGTAAATGCGAGGCGTAAATTTTCCGAGATAAGATCGACCGCGCTAAATATAAACGTCCCGATGATTCTTTCTTTTTTCCTGCCCCCTTCACCCAACGGAAGAGCGCGCAGGAGGAGCGCCACCCTCTTTTCGACTCCTTCGTAGCCGCGTTCGCGCGTTCTTCCACTCTCACACCGTATCGCGAGACGTCCCCCTCGTCATATTCGGCGTCATATTCCTACGAACTCTCTACATTCTTGCATGCTCGCATTCTATGGGATTTCAGTTCTCTGGGTCTTTAAGCGAGAAAGACAAGACTCGCGTCCTTCTGGGGACATCTCGATCGTCGTGTTGCCCGCGAACATTGTCCTCGACGTGTTCACAAACGCCGCGGCGGAGGGTATTAGATCGGTATTAAAGACAGAGAAAGAGAGAGATAAAAAAAAAGATGGCAAATATGACCGCGAGATACGACGGTAAAACGGCGACTTCCTAGTCCGCGGCTATTTTGCACGAGAGGAATGTTGATTACACGATATTGGCTCCCAGGAATCCCGGCACGGTATAAACGAACGAACGAATAAACGCGCGAGCGAGCGCCGCCAAGTACCACGATAAATTAGCCGTAATAGCCGCACAATAACAGTATTTATTATTAATAACGAAACGATGGGCGTTGTTATTAGTTTCAAGAAATTAGACGACGCGATTCCGCGCGGATCCGCGCGTGCGCCCGCCGGCCAAGCCGGCTTACACACTCACCGAGTGCGGGCAACGTCGTTCGTTGCGTTGCCGTGCGCGACGACGCACCTAATTTAATGGGGGCGATAATTTTCAGCTTATTCACGAGTGGATATCGCTATCATTAACTCTTCGGCGGCGATAAGCAGACAGTGCGCAAGGAAAGAGAGAAAAAAAAGAAAAAAATCGTGCGGTTCCGTCGATCGCGCTCGCGTAACGGTGTTCGCGGAGAAATTATTTTGCAGAAATTTTGCATCTTTCCGTTTGCAGAAGCTTTCCCTCCGGGAATTAATTGATCGCATTTTCGGGAACTCGCCGCCCGATTATGGACCGTACACTCATGCAGATTAAACACTCGACTCACCGTCTGTAGTCGCTTTTGCAGAGGATCATGCCACTTCTGGTGTAGCAGGATTGGCCGATTTCTGCCAATGCCGTGCCGCAATACGAGCACTTGAGGCAGCCATTGTGCCAGTACCGATCCATCGCCAGCAACAGCCATCTTTCTACTATTTGTCCGCCGCAGCCGGCGCATTGCTGAATACCCGTTGACGCGCTCGGAACTCCCTCTTGCTGCAACGCAAAATTTCATTTCGCTCGGTCAATTGTCTGGCTGGCATTGCGGGCCGCCAACATTAAGATTCGTACGCCCGAAAAAGATATATAATCTCATCCTTGACGGAACTCTCTTGTTATGGTCTTAAAAGAATTCCTATGAAACTATTCCAACATCCCAAAAAAAAGGAACTACAGTTGTAAGATGCCGTTAATCGTTCCTGTTTCCTATCCTATGTTTTAAACTTTTGCCGAGAGGGTTTATTTCTCCTCTAATGGAGGTGAATAATATGCTTGGAATATCTTCCTCTTAGTTTTGGAAGAATCCTCTTGAGACCATATACACGGAGAGATTTTTGTATTAAAAATTACTGTAGGATTTTGTGTCCAAGGAATAGGCTAACATTTTACAATAAATCACTGTCCTTTCATTTCTTATGTATTACATTTTAGGAACTGAAATTGCGCTATTAAACACGCACTTGCTACATTTCCAACAGAATTTACTATGTTCCTCAGCAAGACAGACCTTACTTGACAATCTATTGCTGGACTACTAAAAACATAGTAGCAAAATAAAAATAATTTATATAAAAAAAAGACTTATAATATCGTCTTCGTGTATATTGAGGAAGAAACCATCGATAATTTACTCGTGAGAAATTCTATAATCGATAATTTACTCGTGAGAATCTATGAAGTTTATTTCGCAGAAATAATTTACGTCACACAGAAATAAACTTTATTCCGTTGAAAATGAATTTTGTTTCTCAGAAATAAATCTTATATCCCACCGAATAAATTTCCAAGTATTTTTTTCTGAGCGTACAAGAGGATTCCGTTACGAGACTTTCTTTTTGGTGTAAACGGCGAAGCGGACGATATTTTCTGTCGGTTGGAACTGGTTGTTCCGTTTGCGACGACGTAACGTGTGGCGAAGGAAGATTGGTCGCGAAATGCGAAGGTAATTTTGCGATAATCGACGGCGATAAGATTACTATTTTTGTAGAACGCATTTGTACGAAGTTTGTGTATAGCAGAGAGCGCGAGTTGCAACACGCTTTTAGAAATCGTTTCCACTTCGTTATAAATAGAAATTCAAGCATCGCGGCAATTAATGCGAAATAGAAAGTCATTAACGGCCGCTAAATCATCACGGCGTCTTAAGTACGCGCACGCGCGCGCGCGCGCACGCTTATTATGAATGCTCACTCGTGATTATGCAAACACACGTAGGCGAACGTAACTCTTCGCCCACCGGATTCACAACTTACTCGCTAATTTCGCCTCGTACAATGTTGCTCAATATTAAATTACCGCGGAGATCCCGATTTGTCGTTAAATCGTCGTAAACGGGCGCGTTTGTTGTTTGCATTCGTTGCGATTCCCCGGTTTCACGATACTCGAGGAAAAATCCGACACAAAATACGGAACAAGGACCTCCAGAGAACACGAAGTTTCTCGCTCTACCTGAACGATACCGTTGACACGATTTGTTGTCGCTCTTTTTCCGACCCGTGTACACCGAGAGAAAAAAATACCTAAAAAACAGTAAATACGTTTCATTGGTGGGTACTAATGACATATCTACTTTTAAATCTGAAACCGTTAACTCAAATAGAATAAACAATCGCTTTCGTGAAGGTTTTCTTAAGCGTTTTTAGGAAAATGTACATTTTCCTATTTGAAAAATGTTTTATGTTGGCACAAGTAAATATGTTTGCTGGTACTCATCAAATAAATATTTACTATTTCTTAGATATTTGTTCTCTCTCTGTGTAGCCGCGGAAAACAAAGCTACGAGTGTATGTATATAATATAATTGAACAAAAACGAGCACTCGTAAACAAAAAGGAATCGAAACGATTCGACTCCGTACTTGGATCTTTCTCGTGAACTGTAAACAACCGAGTTTTTGTTTATTTATTGCGCACGTGCACCAGCGTCTCAGGCTTTCAACGGCCCCGTTTCTAGCACCGGATCGAATTAAGAATGGAAGAATGAAGATTGGATTAACGAATCAAGGGGCAAGAGCAAAATGTAAAAGCTAATCCAAGTACTGTAATTTCTCCCCTTTTTCTTCTAGCACCGTGAGCTCGGGCGATAAAGACGAAACATATTTATGCATGCTTATCTGCTATTCATCGATACCAGATAATCTCGCGATGCGCATTCGGGTGGTAATGTGCGCTCGTGCAGTTATGCGATCAGTCGGACATGATATGCCACGCACAGCAGCAGCAACAACACATTCATTCGACTAAGATCGGGGATAGAATATGAGCGAATGCGTTAATTACTGCATCAACGAGTGTGTGTATGCGTGTGTGTATGTGTGTATGTAGGTACGTATGTATGTATATATGTATATATGTATGTATGTACGACTCGGAGAGGCGTGCGCATTTGCCTGCGCGCAAAAATTTCGCAGAATAAACGAACGCTTACTTTGATTTCCGTCTTGATGTCGGGGAAACACTTAATCTGATTCATCCGTGACGTAATCGTGCTGTAGTGGTGCGTATGTACCTCCATGGTGCACTACACTTTGTATACGCGTATAGTTGTAGGTGTGTGTATGTGTATGTGTACGTGTCCTTCTTCACAGAATGATAAAAAAAGATGAAAAGAAGAGGAGGAATGTCGAAAACACAATCTCGGATTCACTTGGCCAATGATATCACTCGGCCTCGAACGACAAGTTCCCGTTGTGGGTACACTCACTTTCCCCCACCACGACTCGCGGGATTTCAAGGATCAGGTTCTCCTCGAATTTGCGCGTCTCCGCGTGGGACCATGGGGACACGATGGTCGAACGTTTACAGTACAACGTGCAACCAGCTTCGCGCGACGAGACTCGCTTCCGATTTCGGCGACGCGTTACCCTGTGCGATACAGTCATGGAGCACGGCCGCGAGGAAAGGAGCAGTGAGTAAGCGTGCGTGCGAGCGAGCGAGCGAACGAACTAAGCGAAACGGAGCGCGGTCGAGACCCAACTGGCTGGTGCTGCGGGCCCCCCGAATGCCTCGCGGGCCTGCGGGTTCAGGTACCTTGTGGCTCGAGTGGTGGGGAGGGTAGGTGGGGGATAAAAAAGCAGGCCTAGAAAGGACCTAACCAACACTGAAGGGGGACGCAAGAGCAGGATGGAAAGAGGGATCCGCACAGCGAAGGAAGGGGGCCCCGAGTGGGTCGAGAGGGGAGGTGAACGGAGGACCCACTACTCGTATAGTAGAGAGAGAGAGAGAGAGAGA